CTCTTCTAGAAGATTCAGTGTGGCTGGATTTATGCTGAGATCTTTGATCCATTTGCACTTAAGTTTTGTGCATGGTGACAGGTATGGATTTATCTGCAATTTTCTGCATGTCCGAATCCAATTGTACCAGCACCATTTGTTGAAGATGCTATCTTTTTTCCATTGTATAGATTTAGCTCCTTTTTCAAAAATAAGGTATATTGTACTTGAAGTTCTGGCTATAGCAATAAGACAAGAAAAGGGGATCAAAGGGATACAAATTGGAAAGGAAGAAGTCAAATTTTCACTATTTGCACTAATGATAGTCCACATTAGTGACCGAAAAACTCTACCAGGGAACTCCTACAGCTGATAAAGTTTCAGTAAGGTAGCAGTATACTAAATTTACTCAAAAAAATCAGTAGCCCTACTATATACAGATGATAAATCCAATGAGAAAGAAATCAGTGAAAACATGAAAGATCTGTACAATAAGAACTTTGAGACTTTAAAGAAAGAAATTAAAGAAGATACCAGAAAATGGAAAGGTCTCCCATGCTCTTGGATAGGTAGAATTAACATAGTAAAAATGGCAATCCTGCCAAAAGCAGTCTACAGATTCAATGCAATCCCCATCAAAATCCCAACACAGTTTTTCACAGACATTGAAAGAACAATACTCAACACTATATGGAAAAATAAAAAGCCCAGGATATCCAAAACAACTCTTTACAATAAAGGATCTTCTGGAGGCATCACCATCTCAGACTTCAAGCTCTACTATAGAGCCATAGTTCTGAAAACAGCTTGGTATTGGCACAAAAATAGATTGATAGAACAATGGAATTGAATTGAAAACCCTGATATTGACCCACGCACCCATGGATACCTTATTTTTGACAAAGTTGCTAAATCTATACAATGGAAAAAAGAGTCTCTCATGAAGACTGAAGTCATATGAAACACACAATTTCACATTGAATACTACAAATTAGAACAATGAGTGGGCTGCTCCTAAAGATTAAGGTTATATTTCAAAAAAAAATCATTCTAAGTACAATCACTTCAAGCACAAGATTGATGCTGTATTAACTGACATGTGGAGGGTTTCTTGACTTTCCAGAGAATAGATTTCTGGAAAGGAATACTCTTCACTGAATTTCATTCTCAAAAAATCTAATAAAATGTAACACATTTTAAAAAGAAGTTTAAGTGTATTAGTGACTGTAATACATTTAGAGTTTGCTTTAAAGTTATATAATTAAGGTTTAGGATGCCATCAACTGTAAAGGGTTTCATCATGCATCCCTATATACATGTGCCTTTATGTTTTGTTTCTATTGTTCCTTCCTCAAACTTGTGTCCTATACTGCTCCAAATGGTTCCCTTTTTCCCTCCATTATTCATCTCTTCTTTGCTTTTCT